TAAATAAACCTGGGGTGGTGGGGGCGGGAGTTGAGCAGGGATGCCCAAATGGCGCATGCAGGCCCACACTGGCCACCTCCAGTGAGCACCTGGGCTCAGAGAGGGTAGCCTCTCCCCAGCCCAGGCCCTGTGCCCTGCCCCTGCGCCCCTGCCGGGCTCTGGAAGGCATGGGGTGGAGCCGGGAGAGGCCGGCTGGAGATCCCGGCCCCAGAGGACTCTGTCCCACGCATGCGCGGACACATAGACGAGAGCCCACGCGCGCACAGCCCCCTGTCCACTTGGGTGTGGCCACACCTGCCTCTCCAGAAGCCAAGGTGACTGGAGCCCCTGGTGTCCCGGATGCACTGCGGGCTGGGCTCCTTCTCCGAGAGCTCCCCGCAGAGGGCCTGGGCCCCTCCCCTGTGCTCCCTTGCTCGCTGGGGTTGGGGGAGGCTGCAGAAACCAAGTTCAGAGACTTGGGGCCGGGCCAGCCCCCGCAGGCAGCGCGGCTCCTCCGAGGGGGAGGCCTGGCAGCGGCAGGGTTTGCCACCTTGCTCCCTCTCTCCCCGCCGTCCTCCCCGGCAGGTTATCAGCGTGAAAACAGGAAGGCTGGCGGTGCTATTAATAATACATGAAGCCTGCTCTGCCCCAATCAGGCGGGCTGAGGCGGAAAGGCGCTCAGCCCCCAGGGAGAGCGCGCCAGGCTGCTGGGGGCCGCCCGGCTGGGTCTTCCGCGGGGCTTGGGGAGCCCCTCTCCCCACTAGCTCTGAGCGTGTCCGACCAAGGCCCCACCCCCGGCTCCCTCCACTTCTCTCACCCGCGGTTCTACACCCCCCACCACCACACCCCCGGGGCGCTGCCTGCTTCCCACAGGAGCTGCAGCCAGTACAGAAAAGCTCCCAGCCCAGGATTCAGCAGCCCTGGGTCCTGGAATTTGGGAAGTAGGAGAGGACAGAGGAACCACTCAAGCTGTGGTGTCAGACAGATCTGCACTCTGGGCCTTGGCCCAACTGCTGTGTGACCTCGCACAAATTACCGTAACTCTCTGAGCCTGATTCACCTGCAAAATCAGACCGCTAAGGAAATAAACCAAAGACTAGATGTGAAAGCCCCAGCATTTGTAGATGCTGATACGTGGTAGCTAAGATTATGTCCTGGACTACGAACCTGGGCCACTTTCTTCCTTCCTCAGGCTTTAATCTCCTCCTCCCTAAGACTGAGCCGGTTAAGCCACTCCTGCAGTGCCAGCGTCCCCTCTCAGAGCACTAGTTGGAGTCCCGGCTGCTCCGCTTCCGATCCCGCTCCCTGCTGATGCACCTGGGAAAGCAGAGGAAGATGGCCCAAGTGCTTGGACTTCTGTCAGCCTCGTGGGAGAACTGCATGGTGTTCCTGGCTCCTGGCTTCCGCCTGGACCAGCCCCAACCATCACAGCCATTTGGGGAGTCAGTCAGTGAATGCAAAAATCAATTGATCCTTCTCTCTCTCTCTCTCTCTCTGCCTTTCAAATAAATAAATCTTTATTTTTAAAAGTGAGAGGATTGAACTAGGTGATCCCTAAGAGCCCTCCAAGTGTTGACAGGATTTCCATAGTTACCGGATGGGAAACAGGCAGCGGCATATACAACGCTACATGAGAATCAGTGCTCTGGGCAAGGGGTCAGAGAGGAATGAGGAGGGCTCCCTGCCAGCCATGGTGGACGGATAAGGCCGCTTGAGCAGAAACCTGGATCAAGGACGTGAGCGTGCAAAGAGACGGGGAAATCGCTCCTGGCAAAGGGAGCAGCGAGTGCAAAGGCCCTGGGGTGGCAAAGGAACTTAGCAAGTCCAAGGAGTCAGAGAGCGGCCAGTGAGGCCGGCACACAGGAGCAGAAGAAAGCATGGCGGGAGGGAAGAGCTACAAGGAAGCAGGAGGGCAGGCCGCCCTCCAGGGCCTCCAAGACCGGAGTTAAGAACTTGGCTTTTGCCCTGTGAGAGAGGGAAACATGAGAAGGGCTGTGAGAGACGCCCTCAGCAGTTCAAGCCCCGGCTCCGCTCCCAACTCTAGCCTCCTGCTAATGCACGCCCCAGGAGGCGGCAGATGATCGCTCAAGAACGTGGGTCCCTGACAGCCACGCGCGAGACCCAGGCTCCCAGCTTCCGCCTCTGTGTTGCCGACATTGGGGAGTGAGCCAGGGGAGGAGAGCTCGCTCTTGCACTCTGCCTCTCAAATGAATTTTTGTTAAGTTTTTCATCATTAGAAATATTTCACAGGCTTTTTTTCATATCAAGTCTTCCAAGCCACACGCATGTTTCACACGTCCAGCCCATCGCAATTCGGCCTCGTCCCATTTCTAGTGCCCACCAGCTCGTGCGGCTCCTGTTCTGCAGGTGCAATTCCAGAGGGCAGGTGTGGACCCAGGGAGACCAGGTGAGAGGCAGCTGGCACGAGTGAAGAGGCGGGGCTTTGTGCTGAGTGGCCCCAGTAAAAGGAACCCCCTCCTGCTGGGTGGTGAGGCAGGGGCGCAGCACGGGCGCTGGGGGAACATCCCCGGTTCTTGTTTGGAATCCTCATTGGCGACTCCCTGGCCGTGCACGCTTCGCAGCCAGCCCGGTGCCGGTGCCGGGGGCTAATCCACAGAAGCTCAGTGACCTCTCATCCCAGGGAGCTCCAAGGAGGCCGGCCCCTGGCCCCCAACCGCACAGCGGAAGGCAGGAAGCGAGGCGTGAGCTTGGAGCCATTGTCACCAGAGACAATGCGTCCTTGAGCAAACACAAGTGTCCCTGCCTGTCGATGCCACCGGGATGCCTGGGACATGTCCCGTCCTCGGCACCTGGGCCCCAAGGGCAGGGAGAGAGCAGCTGGCCCTGCGGGGCCGAAGGCTGGGTCTTGGGCCCAGCTTGGGAACTGGACACCAGGCCAGAGCACTGTGTGGCCTTAGCCTGGCACGAGGTTATGGAGATGCAGGACAACACAGGGGATGCCCTGCACACCTAAGGAAATAACTCCTCGCCCGTGTGTGTGTCTGCCCTGGGTGGTCAGGGGTGATTTCCAGCTGCTGGGCTGTGGTTTGTCCCTTCCCAAACTCTCACTGGAAGTTGACTCCCAAAGCAACGGCATGGGGGATAAGGGGGAGACCCTGAAGAGGCGACCAGGGCAGACTGCCAAAGGCATGGCTGCAGCTCTCAGGGGAGCGGTGGGCTATCCCACGAGCGAGCTGTGGCGAAGGGAGCCCGGCCCTCACGTCCTGTCTCCCCTGCCCGGGCCGCTTGCCTCTGCACTTTCCTGCCACCCGGAGACGCGGCACCAGGCCCTCACCAGATACAGCTGCCCGATTGTGGGCTTCCGGCTCCAGCATCAGGAACCACATCACCCTCTTTCCTGGATAAATGGCCTCGTCTCGGGTATTCTGCTACAGCCACACAGCACAGACTCAGACACGGGACTAACAGAGACATAATTACAATGGCGGACACTGCGGGCCCTCACTCACCCTGGCTACCCAAGGCCACACAGCTGCTGGCAGTGCCGCTGGCACATGAACCAGGCAGTGGTGGCTCACAGCCTCGCCCACCACACTCTCCTGCCTCCCTGGTGGGAGCAGAAGGCCACCGAGGCACCTGCCCAGCACGTCGTGGGACCCTGTCCCTCCGAACTTACCCATGAGGGACAAGTTGCCTCTCTCCTGGGAACAGGGAGGGGTTTCCGCCCACAGTACGGGGGTGGGGGGGCTGGATGGACGCCTCCTCCTCCCCTTCCTGGAAACACAGACACCAGCCTGCTCTGCTGGCCCTCGTACCCGGAAGGGAGCTTCGGCTGCAGACAGGCAGCCAGAGGACGGGGAGAGGAGAGAGGCGAGCTCAGGCAGTTGGGCGGCAGCAAGGGCCGGCACAGAGCCAGCAGGGCTGTCCTGGCTCAGCCTCTGGTGAGACTGGGGGGAGGCAGGCGGCTGGGCACTCGTCGGCCCCTAAACCGCTGAGTCCACTTGGGGGCCCACCGCACAGCCGGCAGTCCTGGGGCTCCAGGCCCCGCCCCCACTCCCAGCAACAACACACCCCTGCCCCCTGCTGCGAGGCGGGGCCTCCGACTCCATCTCAGCGGCTGAGGCTGAGAGTGTTAGCAGGTGTTCACTGCAGGGCGCTGCCACCGGGAGGGGCTGTTATTACCCCACACTCCCTGTCTGCCGCAGCCCCAGCCCCAGCCCCAGCCCGGAACCCGTGTGCTGCGCTTTCTCTTCTCAGGCCTCGGAATCTTGCCTCTCTCACTCTGTGTCTCTGTCTCTTCCCTCCTTTGCTCGCTCCATGTCTGTATCCCTCGGCCTCGCTCTGTGTTTCTGTCTCAAGCTGGGCTTCGCCTGTGCCCCTCTGCAATTCCACCTCCTCGGAAGGCAGCCCAGAGGCCAGGCCCTGTTTGCTGCCCCACATCTGTCCTCTAAGCCAGGCCTGATCTGGGCAGGGAAAGGGGCAAGGGTCCTAGGGCGGGGAGCGCGGCCTGAACTCTTGGGCCCCGGAGCAGCTTGCTTCGAAGCTCACCCACCCCCTCCAAGCCCCCACTTGGCTCTTGCCCTTGCCAACATGGCAGTCACTCCAGCCATTCGTGGTTCCGGGGCCCAGAGTCCAGCCTGTTTGTCCACCACAGTAGTATGGAGAGGCTCCACGGCAACACAATTGAGTCCGTCCAAAAGCTGCATGCGGGCAGGTGGCCCAGGAGCAAGGCCTAGCCCAGTAGGTCACTGTGCCAGCACCCTCCACAGCTGGGAGCTGAGGGGGAGCCACTGGCCAGGTCCAGCAGGAGCAGCAGGCAAGACTCCTCATGCCCCTGGCTCCCAGGTACCCAAGCCAGGCAGCTGCTGCCAACCCCACAGCCATAACAGATGGGGGACCCCACTGGCCGAGGAGCTTCTCTAGCTGGGTGGGGAGAGGAAACACACCAGCCATGGAGTCACAGCTCCCCAGCACACACTCTGAGCACGACTGAGCTGGTGGCTGCAGCAGGCATCAGCCAGCAGGTGGGTGGGTGGGTGGGTGGACAGACAGATGGGTAGATGGAAGGATGGATGAATAGACAGACGGATGGGTGGGTGGATGGGTGGATGGATGGATGGATGGATGGGTGGGAGGGTGGATGGGTGGATGGACGGGTAGATGTATGGATGGACAGATGGGTGGATGGAAGGATGGATGGATGGATGTACAGATTGGATAAATGGATGGACGGATGGGTAGATGGATGGATGGGTGGATGGATGGTTGGATGGATGGATGGGTGGGTGGGTGGGTGGATGGATGGATGGGTGGGTGGATGAATGGGTGGGTGGATGGATGGACGGGTAGATGTATGGATGGATGGATGGATGGATGGGTGGATGGATGGATGGACCAACGGATGGGAAGGCAGATGGAGCCATGGTTTCCAGGTTGGGGGAGCCCACCATACAAGACCTTCCCTTTCCCTTACCCCACCCAGAACACCCCTTTGGCCAGGCTTATTCACCCACCAAAAACAGACTGGAGTGCCACGTTCCTTCCCTGGCTTCTGAATTTTGGCATCTGTCTCCTTACCCTTCTCTGCCCCTCTTCCTCCAGCCGAGGGTGAGGAGCCCAGGTCATGGGCTTGGGCTGGGTGTGTGGGCTTGGGTGGGCAGCCAGGATCTGAGGAGCACCCTCTGGCTGAGCCCTGTGCGCTGGCCACTTCCGGAAAGGAAGGAGGAAGCTGAGTAGGTGGGGCTAATCCTTGCTGCCTCCAGCAGAGCTAGCAAAGCCACAGGGGGTGTTCTGGGGCAGTCCCATCAGGGAACAGGCATGGAATTGTCACTTCTCCCTGCTGGGACTTGGATCTCTAAGCAAAGCCCAGAGGACAGGGTTTGAGCTACGCAGAGGGTCCGGGCACGGTGTGGTAGAGAGGGGCTGGGGACGATTCCACTGGGCACTCCCTGGGGAGGGAAGCTCTGAGGCAGGCCTGGCTGCGAGATGCCCACTGTCCCCAGCCTCAGCTGCATGGCTTCCAGGAGGCCAGGCCTGAGCCGGCAGGGCCCATGGAGACAGGCCAGCCCCTGGAGCAGTAACGTTCTCAGGGCTGTCCCGCCTCGCCCGTTGTGGGGACCCCCGTCTTTCCAGGTAGCCAACGCTGGCTTCCCAAGGCGGCTAAGAGATGGGAAGAGACTGGAGAATTCAGAGAGAGATCCATTGTTTCCCCAGGCTTCCCCAGCGCATGTGGCGTTGTGAAGGTTAAGTGACACAATGTGTGAAAGTGTCAATAGAGAGGAGGCACTCAGTAAGCGTCAGCCATCAGCACCCAGACGGTGTCTGGCTCAAAGTGGGCACTGAGTATTTGTTAAATG